AGCCAGAGCCGGAGCCAGAGCCGGAGCCCCTGCCGCCCTCCCGGCACCGCCGCTCCGACCCAGCGGTCCCAACCCACCGCAGGGCCAGCCATGAACGCCGTCCTGGCCAGGTAAGGTGACCCGAGGGGTTGGCGTGCACCTCGTCTCCCTTTACCCGCACGTCCTATCCCGTGCTTGTGAAACCCTGCTAATAAGCATTAAGAAGAAAGCCAGCTCGCTTGGGAAGGAAAAAATCTGTAGGGTTACAATAAAGACAGCAGGACACGATGACAGAGCAAGAGAGGGTGTTATCTCGGGCACGGTGGAAGGAAACAAAAGCTTTGAGGGAGGGAGGTGGAGAACAGGGCTATTTTCCCCTGGAAAACATAAGTCTGCTGGGCTGAAGGTCAGGAGAGGTCTGTAGCAAACCAGCTTTTAATTGGAAACGAGCACAGTAATCATGCCTGTCCGTGGGCGCCTGGGTGACGACGCTGCGAGCTGACTGCCACGCTGTCTGCCTTACAGCCTCACTCCTATGCCAAATACATGTTTTTTTTTTTTTTCTCCTACCAGCTTAATAAGTGACAGCACATCCTCACAAGGAAAGCCACGTGTTTGTAAATGCAGCCCATCCTGCAAGGCTTTAAAGGGAGGAAGCAGAGAGAAAAGCAACCCACTATCCTGTTACCTCCCAGCAAGAGTGAGAGGTGGAGGAGAGATATCCTGTTTGGCTTCGGCGTTTAAAGACACATGAAAAACCCATAATTTCCTAGAAACTTTGCATCTGTTGGAGCTATGAGGCTGCTCTAACAAACATGCATTGCACTATATTGGGTCCATACGTTATATTGTGCAACCCGAGCCAAGATCTAGCTGTGGGATTTGCAGGGTCTCATCAGGAGAAAGCACCAGACCCAAGAGGTTCCCAGGCAGCTAAAACCGGGCTGCAGCGTCCTTCCTCCCCCCAGGTCTTCCTCCAGGGGCAGAATTGGTGGCAAAGATGCCCATGCTACCCAGCAGGTAGATCTGATGGGCTACATCCTTTCCCTGGTCCTGGGGAGGATGGAGGGAGGATGCCAGGCTGCAAAATACACGTGTTTTAGTTCCCAAGAGATCATGGCTCCACGCAGGGCCTCCCAGCAGCCCAGCCGCCCCAGGACAGCCCCTGGCCACCCCATCTGACATGTCAGCCTTTTGGTCCATGCCCCTCAGCATCCTCCTACTGGTGCTAGAGTCCCTCATCCCCAAATCGAGTGTCTCCTAGGGCTGCTGTCAGGCCCCCCTGCTCTTCAGGCTTGCCTCACCTTTCCTTCACCCATCACTGTGCGTTTTGGCTCTTCCCACCTCTTCCTTGTTGGCCCCGGTTCCTTCCTCTTGTTGGTCTCCAGCTCATCAGCAGCAACGAGGTGGGCATGACCCTGCATTGCATACAGCAGCGCAGCCAACTGGAGCAACAGCACTGCTTGCAAATGATTTATTTTTGGCACAGGGTCACTGAAAGCAAGGAGGAGGGAACAGCAGTTAACTGGAGCGCCAGGACCTGAGAAATTTAAGGCCCTGCTAGTCATTTGTGGCAGCATGTCAAGGCTGCACGGTGGAGACCGAGCAAGAGGGGGATCAGCAGGTTTTACAAGGTGATGCACAGCGGCCAAAGCCTTGGCAGAGCTGCTGGGAAGAATGAGATGGAGAAGCAGGCTGCAGCTGCATCCCTCCATCGGTGCTGCTTTTACAGCAACTGCAGAGGTCTGACACATCTAGCTCAGGGACGGGGTTTTTGGGTGGGGAGAGCCAGCTTGGCATGTTCATGTAAAGGAAAGCTCATCAACCCAGAGCCCACCAGCACCACCTGCACCATGTAGCAGGGAACGTGCCAGGAGCTGCAGGGAGCCACAAGGAGCACGCAAGGCTCCTAACGGCTCCTCGGCCGTGCATTGATCAGATGGGGTCTTGGCTTTGCAGCTTCAGCAGTTAATTTGACAGACAGTTGTTTCAGGCCCAGCTCGGGAAGTGAGTCGTCAAGGTGAAGAGCAGCCCAGTCTGTGCAAGCAATTCCTAACTGTGGCTATGCAAAAGAGGGTCTCTTGCCTGCACAAGAGATGCATGTAAAGCCTTGTGGCTCAAATTCCCCATGCAGACTCAGGGCAGTGTTGCTGGCAAACCCAGCTAACGCCACTACCCCTTTCTTTTCCCACCCAGGGACAGCCAGGTGAAGATCATGGAGAAGACAGTGGCCAACGCAGAGAAATACTTTGGCCGGTTCTGCTCTCTGATGGCTTCCTACACCCGGAAAGCAGCCAAGCTCCGCGACAAGTCTGATCTCCTGGTGAAGCAACTCATTGACTATGCAAATACCGAGAGCCCTGAGCTGCGAAACACCATGAAGAGCTTTGCGGAGGAGTTAGCCAAAGTGCAGGATTACAGGCAGGCTGAGGTAAAGAGCGGTCGAGACCACAACCCCCTAACAAGGTCCTAAGCAAATACGTCCCAGATGTGGGCTTTCCCATCAGGAAGCAATAAACACACACTAGCAATAAAGCGAGCAGCAAGTACTCTGCCGGGTCTGCTCTGGCGACCGGTGCGCTCCTGGGAGGGACGTGCTCCGTCCCGCCCTCACCATCCCTGGCCAGAGACGCCAGTTGGTGCAGTGCATCCCTGCTCCTTCCAACCTGGGAGGACAAATCAAGCCAAGGGTTTGACCTCCCTCCCTGCCGGAGATGACAGCCCGTCTCTGAGCGTTTTGGGGCGGTTCCAGCCAAAAGGGGAGGAATGTCCACCCCCTTACCTGTACCACCTCATGGTGCGTGGGACACCTGGACGTAAGCGGGTCTTTCAAACTCCCTATTTGGCACCATCAGCTGTGAGACCTCGAGACCTGGGTCTGGTTTGAACGTGTTGGTTGGAGGCTGTTGGCTTGGTCCTGTTCATGCCAGGCCAGTGGCTCTGCCTTTCTGCTTGGCAGCTAAATATCTCCTTTCCTTGTAGATAGAGCGACTGGACACGAGGGTGGTTGAGCCCCTGAAGCTCTACGGCATCCAACTGAAGCAGATCCAGGTAAGCCCCTGTGAGGCCACGGTGCCAGTCCCAGCCGGGCCGTACGCAAATGCCCCTGTTATTTTCCAGACAGAGCTCAAGAGGTTCAACAGCACCCGCAGCAACGAGATAAAGCAGCTGAAGAAGCTTGTGCGGCTGCGACAGAAGGCACCGTTGGACCGGCAGGTCATCGTATCCTTGCTGGTAGAGGACGGGCAATCGCCTGTCTGCGGGGATGTAGGCAGATGTGATGCTGCTTCTCCATATCCCTTTTCCTGACCCAGGAACCCAACAATCCCAACCCAGGGGGGATTTAGAGTCAAGACTCTCCATCTTGTCTTGACCAAAGCACCTTCCTGGTGAAGGGCCGTTTCTAAGAGGCCAGAGCAGTGGGCTTGAGTTGGCCTCCTGAGGACATTTTTTTGGCTGCCTTAGCAGCAAAGAGGCTGCACACTCTGTCTCCAGCTGCATGCACAGACCCCACCACCATCCTCCAAACGTCTTGATTTATGTCAATGCAATTCAAGTCACATCATAAAAATATTAAATCCACACAAATTTCATGAAAAGCATGGCTGGGGACCGGAACAGGACCTTTCTAGCCCCCTGCCATAGCAAAAGCTATTACTTGGACCCCTCCTTAGCCATTAGGGAATCCAGCCCGATGGCCGAGGGATGGGGATCTCCAGGCTGGGAAGAGATACAGGCCCTGGGAAGCACAAGCTGATGGAACAGCACAGTAAATAAAAGCAAATCCCAGTAAAGAAAAGCACTTTCCCTGGCCAGCCTTTCCTTGACACTTTCTCCAGGCCCAGGTAAGCACCAGTTCCTGCTAAACTGCAGCAATCCTGCGGCCAGGAAAATATGCTCTGGGATGGGCAATGGGCACGACTGAGATGAACCCCCAGAGTAGGACAGTGAGGACAGGCCTGAAATGGGCTTCATCCTGCATCCCGTCACAGCCCTGGCATGCTCGGGGTCTGACTCCTTCCAGGAGTGTCCAGAAGGAAAATTGCTCCCATTTTTAGCTGAGCAGCTCCCTTACCTTGGTGGCTGTTACAGAGGAGACAAGTCCCTGGCTGAAAACTTCATCCAGCATCTGCATCGCTGGAGAAACACATAAAAGAGGGGGAAGGACCTCCAAAAGAGAAATTCCTTCCCGCAGGCTGAATCCAGCATGCATCGAGCCATGGCGGACACCAGCTACACCTCCAAGCGCCTGGAGGAGACCTTCGACTGCTTCCAGAGAAAGAAGCTGAAGGATGTCCAGGTACCAGCTGCTCAGCCTGGCTGGGAGAGCCGCTGCGGCTCGGCGGCTTCCCTTCCTTTTCCAGCCCCTGGGGAAGCCGTCCGGGATCGTGCTCACGCTCTACCCTACCTGCCTTCTCCGCAGAGGATTTTCTCAGATTTTGTTGCTGTCGAAATGATTTTCCATGCCAAAGCCCTCGAGGTCTACTCTGCTGCCTTCCAGAGCCTGCACAGCTACGACAGCGGGAAGGACATGGAGGTACGTGGGTTTGAATCCCTTGCTAGAAAGCCCAGATCTCCAAACGGGCCGCCGTCAACCAGAGAGCTTCTCGCCACCCCAGGCCCCATCCCTGGGGAAACTGAGGCAGGGAGGGCTGTGCTCACCGGTCATTCAAAGCTACAGCTACACCCGAAGCCACACTTGGCCCTGCACAGGTGCTCTCTGCATGCTGACAAACTCGCCCCTGGCCTGGGCCAGCAAAGGCACCGGCTACGAGCCACCGGGGACGGCTGTGGGCGGCGAGGAGCACACTGTGCCTCGCAGAGGGTGACTTTGCCCCTGGCCTCAAGGCAGCCGTTGCAAGCTGGTGCTTCTTAATCTGGGGATGTGTAAATTGGGCAGCTCTCCAGCCCTCTGAGCTGTTTTGCATTTAGGCTCTGCCGGCTGTTAGCTACTGCATCCAGGGCCGAGGCAGAAGCAAGTCTTTCTGTCCCCACCGGCTCTGTCCCACACGCAGGGTCCCCTTGGGACGGTGCCATCACACCTTGTCTTCCTGTCACATTTAGGATTTTCGAGCAAAGATCCGTGCAACATCAGGAGACTACAACCCGCACCCGGTCCACACCACCAGCCCATCGCCCTCCCTGCCGCGGTCCCTGGGGGGCCAGGTGAGAGGCAGCCCCATTGCACAGCATCCCCGGGACTGTTCCTGGAGGAAACCCCCCGCTCCCATCCTCACCGCTCAGGCAAAGACCATGAGGCAGCTCTGGGCTCCCCGTGTCTGAGCCTGCCTTAGGGTTGCATCTGGGTTAGGCTCTGCAAGCAGCCGGCTCTGCTCCTCCTCCCTCGCCAGGAGCTCGGATGCTGCCCACACACGGGGACGTGCTCCCCGTCCCCAGTCGCTCACTATTTCCAAATCCCACTTGAAGCTCAAAACGCACCCGCTGGGCAAAGTCTCCGGTGTGACTCACTCCTCCCCCGTGCTGCCGTCCCCTCTGCAGGGCAGGCTGCCCTCCAAGCGGAGCATCCCGCGTGCCCTGGCTTCCCGCAGCCTCCCGCAACCTGCCGGCTCCGGCCACCTGCGGCATCCCCTTCCCCAGCGCCGTGCTTTGATCTGCCTCCAGCTCGCAGCTCTCCTCTGAGATATCATCCCTGGTTTCTCTCCGTAGGGACTTCCCAGCCCATGGGGGTAGAAACAGGTCTGCATCCCCCCGTGCAGCCCGATGCCGCTGCAGGAACAAGCAGCAGCTCCTGAAGTTGGCCCTGTTTCTACCTCGATCACCCAGCTACAGGCACTGCCCGTGTGGCTGATCTGCTCTCCCCTAAGATAAGCTCAATTCCTGGAGCACTCGCGTTGCCCCAGCTTCTCCAGCTGGGCTGAAGCTCCCTGAGCCTCCTGCTGCCGGCTCCAGCAGGGATCACAGCTGGGATATACCGACACTTTCTATTCAGATGTGCAAACACTGGCAGGTCTAAAGCCGTTGTTTAGTCAGGGCTAACAAGGCTGGCAGGGCTCTAATAAGCCCCAGAGGCTTCGAGACGTTCACATCTTGACCTGCTTTGTTTACCAGCGAATACATTTATCTCCTGCGCACGCAACAGCCGGGCGGCTAGTGGCTGAGTGCAGATGGCATCTCCGGCTCCAGCGAATTCACACCCAGGGCACTGCAAAGCTTGAGGGCTTTTATGGTGGCCGGCTCAGCGTGCCGCGGCTCAGCGTGCCGCAGCTCGCTGCTAGGTTTCAGTCCAGTGCAAATCGTGCACAGCTTAATGGTTGCAGGGGTTGCCGCTGCCTCCAAGTCGGAGCTGGACCGAGGCGTAGGGTCTGCTTAAGTATCGGCCGTGTGGCCGCAGTGCTGTGTGATGGGTCTCCATCCCTCGATGCTAGAGCACTCCAAGCAGCTCCTGGAGAGCAGTAGAGGATGGGGAAGACCTTGGGGAGTCCGGGCTGCAGGACCTCAGTGACACCGAGTGTGCCCTGAGCAGACAGTAACTGGGGCGAAGAGCTGGGTAGGCTTATTCTTGCTTTCACTGTACCACCCTTTCTCAAGCGCCAGCCTTGCTGTGAAGACATGACTCTGAAGGACCTGAAGGACCTGAAGGAGCATGCACCCCTGCGCCAGCTCTGGCCCCAGCAGCCCTCTCGGGCGCATCGTTCGCAAGGGGACAGCCCCATGCAACACCTCCCGGCAGGGCTGCCACTGGCCACATTGTGCATCCACCTCTGAGCACTGTTTAGCTTGTGCCCCGGCTCCCTGTGCAACCCCACGGCCGCGGGAGGGATGCTGATCTGGGACGACCCCGTTCCAACATCCCGCTGTGCACGAAACAACCCGCTCCAGAATAAATGACAACCTGCCTGGGGTGCCCGTGAGCCCTGGACACGTGCGAGTGTGGCCGCACTGTCACCTGCTGGTGACGGACAGCTGAGCAGTGGCCCCCCCCCCCGCTTCGGCATCCCTGCCCAGCTGCATTTTGGCCAGGAGGACCCAGCCTGCAGGACACAGCCCCATGCCGCGGACCCCGTGTCCCCCCGGCTCTGCCCGCCCAGCTCCTGCGGCCGAGGAGAAGCAGGCCCCGGTGATTTCACCCTCCTCCCCCTCCTTCCCTTGCAGGCTGTTCTTCTCCCCCTCTCCTCCTTCCATCAAGCTGCAAATATGCTTTCAGAGCAATAAGACGGCTGTTCAGCCTTTGGAACAAATGTTCTCTGCCAGGCGCCGAGCACCGGGGTGGAGGGGGACTCACACTGATTTAATGACAGTGATTTAAGCAATTTGATCCATTTTTATGGCGCATTTACAGTTAGGGGAAAGGGAAGGGGGAAAAAAAAAAAAA